AACGTTATCCAAATGACCTATATGCATCTTGTCGTCCCTGATGAAATCTAGCACTGATTACACTAATGCAGTACTGCATAATGCTGAACCCAGTGCGTTTTTCTGATTACTGTAAACAATTGTTTTTTGACAGAGCCCGTGGTAAAATCCAGTCTCATGCACGTAACACACCCAGGCCTGAAGCCAGCCCTCTCCATTTTCTGTCATTTGTCTTTTTTTAATATTTAATATGGGCAAGTTATGAGTGCCATAATAAAAAGTAACAAACTTTGTTTTAAATTCTCAGAAATTCCACAGTAAAATGTTCTGAAACTTGACACTCAGTGGAGGTCACCATGAACCAAGGTGAGGTGAAATATCTGTCACCTCTCAAGGATTTGTTATTTATGAGTATAATAGTTACGCATGCCATAATATAAAAGTAGCAAATTCGCCTTTAAATTTCTTAAATAATTAACAGTAAAATGTTCTTTAACTTCACAAACAGTGGTCAGACATTACACTTTGAGTGTCGGGGGTAAACAGTGTTGCCGCGAAATCGTCAAACATAAAATTCCTCCATAATGCTCCTGTGGCATCATCGTAACCAGACATTCATTCGACATCAGTTACACCACCTGCAGCAGTAACTTGTCGATAAAAACAGTGAATATGATGTGTTTTTAGTCGAATAGGAGTTTTTGCATCGAGAGGAGATGCGAGATCCGATACAGAAGCAATACACCCCCCACCCACTTAGGATGGGATCTCTGACTGAATGGACTGAACAGTCAATTACTTTAGTTGGACAAACTTCTTAGTGGTCAGTTAAATGTGTAAAGGATAAAAAACGACACTGAGACAACAGCTTCATTTCAAACTTTTATTGAGGCCTTATTTCTTGGATTTGAAGTATTCCTCGATGACATCCTTGGCTTGAGACTCCTTGCCATAGTCCTGAAGCAGAAAGAATATATTGTTCCAAATGTGCACACAATTTGCTCACACCTTTGAATGTTAAATCTGATTCAGCATCAACATTAGTGTCACACTGAAACACTCATTATAACCAGTTCATTGTATAAACACAATTATCCTCAAACTCTGGATGTTCTCATGTTCTAAAAAGTTAAACCTGCTGCGTCGTGTGTCAGTATCAAAGCATGTTGAAATTACCGAACCATTACAATTTCTTTCTCAAAATACAGACTCCAAAGCAACATGTTATGAGGAGTATAAAAGGTTAATCACAGGATGTCCCATTATCAAATAATGGCAAGTGCTGCCATGTCATGTTTGTAGCCATTCTCAGGGACCCCAGACACCACAGATAGATGAAGGGGCTCGTACCCAGGCTGTCATTTAGCCAGGAGTAAAAAAACAGCTGCATGGCACGAGGCACAGCACCTGGACTTGACTGGCAAAAAAAGTGCAATCTACTTAACAGCACACGAGGTTCAGACTTGTTAAATATAAATAAGGTATAGACTTTACTTTAAACTTTAAAAAGGGCAAAATGTACCTTGACCACGACGCAGCTGCAGCCCACCACCTTACGGGGTTTGCCCTCACGGTCGATCTTGCATAGACCAACCCACTCGCCGAGCTTCTTGTTGTCGTCAACCTTGAAGTTAAGAGAAATGACGAATAAAACATCTGCTTAATGTCCTTTCAGAAAATTAAAATGTTGATAACCTGGGAAAAAGTAATAGGTGAAGGATCTTAGTTTTAATGTTAACATGATATTAATCAATAATCACTTGTGTGATAGAATATTTATAGTGCAATGCTTTTCTATCCAGTTTGTTTCTGTGAAATTAGAAGGTAGCAATGCCAGGACTGTTGACTGCATCTCAGACAGAAATTGGGTAACAGTGGCGATCTCCTCATGGTTTTCAGTAGAGGGAGCCATAGTATCATCAGCGATACAGCAGTATGTGGCATGATACCTTCAACTCCAGTGTCAGTACATTAAATCATGTGAAAGGATTTTTTTTTTTTTTTAAACACATGACTGGTGCAATGCCCAGGTTCATGAAGCTTGTTACCTTGATCAGGTTGATCTGATGCTCAGCGCAGAGGGCCTCCACCAGCTTGACGTACATGGGCTCGTCGCAGTTGGCTGCAAGGACGCACAGATGGGCCTGACGCCTGCGGGACAACACTCATTAATTCAGGGGCTATGCAACATTTGAGTTTTTTGGGGGGAAAAATCTTAAGGCACATCTCAGACAAAAATTGGGTAACAATGGCAGTCTTCCACATGGAGTTCAGTAGAGGGAGCCAAAAAATCATCAGCGATCCACCCATCAATGACAAAGTATTTATCAAATGAAATCATTTTAAAATACGTACTTGTCCAGAGCCTTGGCGGCTTCACGGATACCACGAGCAAGGCCATCGTGGATAAGTGCGGTCTTGAGCACTTCTGGGAGAGCGGTGTTGACATCCATCACACCTCCAGCAGCAATGCTATGGAAAATGGTTGAGGACAAAGAAAAAAGATTAATATTTGACAAAAAATGGCAATGAAGAGTTCAAGCGTATTTCACTTGAGCTTCCAGCACGTCAGACTGGGGATCTCACTCATTGAAGAGTGAAGGGGTATCCGACAAAAGAATGTAAGTCATCATTCAAGCACCGGAGAGCTCATTTAGAGGAAAGGTTTGGCATTAACATTCAAAAATTCACTTCTACAGACAGCTGACCCTTCAATACCACTGAGGTGATCTTGTTTTATTGAGGAAAAGGATTCACATCTGTAAACAAAGCAACATTTAAACTATTTTCTCATGAAAACAAGGACTCTTATCAATGCAGGACATTCAAGATAAAATGTACCCATGGTTTGAAATGATTCCCACCATCGCAACTATGCAGTTATACATGTTGAGATCATAATCAACAGGCAAACTACATGTTCAGAATTGATTCAAGTCAGAATTTCTTATTTCATACTTTTTCCCTTGAAAGTCACTAACTCCAGATGCCAAAAACAATAATCTGCATTTACACTTCATTCGGTTGTAAAGGACCAGGCAAGTATGTAAAAACACTCGCAAGTCAAATACAATACGAGGATCAGCAGACAGTAAGTGAGAAACAAGTGCAACACAACGTGATAGTGATAATTACACAGGTGGACATTTCAAACTAAGTTTCCCCCAGTAGCAGAGAGATCTGCTACACCTGACATCCCTGCAACAAGGTGTACCTGTAGCATTTGTATATCATTAGCAGTATCCTAGCTAACATACACAGTACACCATCTAAACTCTGCTTGTGCTACATTCAGTTTATTCAAAAGATAACCGGCACATTACATTTTAGAGATCAGACACACTTCTCCCTCCGTTACTTTAGCTAACATTGACATCAAGAGTGAAGTGATGGATTTCTCTTGATGTTGAGAAGCACAACAAGCTAACATAACTTTATACAACATCTGGTATGGATGTATTAAAGAGATGAACTTCTCACGTGTGCAAAGATGCTAGCTAAACAATTAACCTGCAGCGAAGCTAACCACTTGTCTCTGAACCTGCGCTACTTCATCTCACATGAGTTGAAGTAGCGCAGGTTCAGAGACAAGACTAAAACTTAGCACAAACAATGAAGCCGACCAACAATCTGTAAAGTAGTGTACACATTTCCCTGCTGAGTATCGGGTTCATATTAAAACGTTATGGCGGACAGAAGCATCATGCTCACCCTTCCTCGGCCATTGTAGAATTTCGATGGATGGGGGACTTAAAGTTCTGCAATGAAGAACAGATATGAGAGGAGAGTCATTATTCATGTCGCACATGTCACCGCGATGACTTTATAAACTGAGATGTTTGATTAATCCGGCAGATTGAGCCGATGAAGAAGTGAACGCACCCGATCCTCCTCTCGGGCAGCGGGTAAAGAGGACGTCACCAGTGCGCGACATTCCTTTATCAGCAGCAGGCCCCCGGTGGCGGCCGGCGCGCTGCCTGAACCAGTTTGTTTGTTGTGCAGAATTTTCATTCACACACACTTTTGGGTAGTTTATACAAATGTAAAGTGTAAAATAATTATAAATATATCAACAATATG